ATCATATTAACACCTTTGCTGACCCACCATTGCTAAGGAGCTGTTAGTTTTGGTGGTAACGGTGAAAGGGGATTGGTTTTTGTCTCACATGAGACTTTAGAGCATTCCCAAGCTTTTTTTTATTAAATTCATCTTCTATGTCATCATTCATAAAACAATTTGAATAAAAATCACTCTTTATAGCTTTCCACCTTCCAACAGTTTATCTATATCTTATACGTACTCTATAATCATCCCACCTCTCTATCTTTGCCTAGCGAAATATTCAAAATAGAGAAATATCATATTTGTAGATATAATTCAAGAAGTTGTTGGAGAGTATTGTTTTCACCAAAATCTCTATTTCTATCAATTAGGAATGATATAAAGATATTCTATCCAAGCTCTTATGCTAAAAAATAGTATTTTACGAGATATAGGTGCTGCAGCAGATCTCATATCTCATCTCCTGTACCTATAATTTTTAAGAGACCTCCTAAAAGAAGCATCCTTTCTCCACAAAGGAGACAACCTCCTCTCTCTCCATCCCTAAAGAAATATAGGAGACAATTTTTAGGTAATTTGCTAGTGTTCTCTTATAGCTAAATTGATTTTAAGTACTATCATCCTAAAATAATTTATAGAAGATGCAATATAAGAGATCTAGTAGAGATGCTCTTAGTCATATTTAAATTTCTTAGGCATTTGGCATTACATAAATTAAAAATTAGTGGTTTTATTGCTAATAATAGAGGCCGCATTTTGCTCGGTGCAATTTCTTTGGGGAAAATCATATTTACACCTCCACTCTGCCCCCTAAACTATGCCCAGAGTTTGGGTTCCTCCCTCAACAAGAAAACCACGGATTGGTGCTCCTCAAACTATCCAAACTGAGCAAGTAACACAATACCCTTTCTGGAAGTGATTTATTACGCTGATGTGGCACTAATGTGTGAGTGCTTTTGTTGATTACACGTGTGACGTGGAAACTATACTAAGCAAATAAACATAAAAAAGGAAAAACTTGGGACTCACATGTCAACAGTAGGAGTGTAGGACCCACTTTTTCCACTTTCTTCCTTCGTTACCCGCATGTGTTCTCTAATGGAGGTCACCATTGCCGCCGAGTTTTTATTTAGCCACAATGTGACATGGTGTACTTATAGATGGCCAAAATGGTTAGGCAAAATGGGCCACCATGAGGCACAACTATTTTGGCCCAGCCTACGCGCGACCTAGCCCGTTGCAACGGTTTCATGGCTGGCACAACCTAATTTGTGGTGTTGTGCATAGCCGCCCATACTACCAGCATGAGCATGACCGTTCCAATGGCTGGCATGGCTTCATCCCTGCTTAACCCTGGGCCAATGTAAGCTAGGATCCAACCTTGCTCTCACCGGCCCTAAACTCTAGCTTATTTGCCTTACCCACCCACTAGTACAAACTTGTCCATGAGGGCCCATGCACATGGAGGGTTGCTCAAGCAGGTAACAGGATGAGAAGGTGAGGAAATAAGGATGGTGGGGCCATCGACTTGCATGGTCACATAGGAGCCAATCATGTGGCGCCATGGGAGGCGCGTGTCTCAATTATCTCACTAGCAGCTGTGATGGAGAGAAAGGGTGTATGTGGGCCACCAATGGGCTACCCTATGTGTGGCCTGACATTGAGAGAGGTGAGAAAGGGAGAAGCAAGCCAAATCTTGCCCATGTGAAATTGAGTGGAGAATCTTGAACATGTGGTGCCAATGTGGTATGGTTGTATGTGGCTGAGACACCTCTTGTGTGCATCTTTGGTACGTGGTAAGTGTGTATATGACTAGGCAGGATATTGTGACTTAGTCTTCAGACAACATCAAGCTAGGAAAGTATGACCTAAGCACTTTCTAATGGTACCTATGGTGGGTATACGAGAGTTGGAGAAGTTCACAGGAACTATGTTGTGTGGGCATGTTTCCAGGAGGGAGGTGCCTCATGGGAAATTGAGCTTCTGTGTTGGAGGAGATGTCTTACTTGTGTTGCTTAAGGACTGAGTTGGATTAATGAGTTCACAAAGGTCTTTCATGTACACACCACCTACCATGTTATGGGAGAGGTTGGCCTAGGCTAGCTATAGACAATGACACCTTCGTGAGGATGAAGATGACTATGTCAGTGGGGTAGAGTAGAGCTCTTGTACCCTAGACCCATAGCACTCCACCAGCCCCTAAATGCTATGTTTCATAACTCCAACGTGTCGGTGGACTCCAGAGTGACTCAGGGTTAAGGGCAGGGTGGTAATGAACCGATTAGTTCTCCATCTAAAGACAACCTAGGTGGGGCACACCACTAATGATTGCACCCATGTGGGTACATGTTGTCATCAATAGATAGGGACAACCTTGTGTGCTGTTATTTAGCCTAGATAGATGAGTTGTGTGCTTTTCTTGCTTGAGGCCTTTGAGGCAAGGAAGGGTGGGAGCTTTCCTCGCTGACTAGAGAGCATGGAGGTGGGAAGAGTTGGACAAAGGAGTGGGCGTGGGTCTTGTTCTGGGATGGTTTGGGAGTGTGTGGAGGGAGTTAGCCATGAGGCCATTGCTTATACTTGTTCTTTTGCACTTTCTAAGGTTGAAACCAAAGCCATGTAATAGGTTAAGCCTCTGCATACCACTTTCTACAAAGTATAAGAAACCATAGGGTGAGATGTTGACCAATACAAATCAAATTGAAATATCTTGGTTTCAGATAATGATCCAGACTACAACTTAGACCATAATGGTTGGGATGAGTGACGGGTCTATGTCCTAAGCTCAAGGGAGCTCATGGATGACGATTCTCACTTCGTAACACTTCTCTTTTGATGCTTCTTTGTTTGAGTTCGTCCACCTGGACGTGTAATAATGGGCAAAACTATGTGATGTGGCCCTTAAACATGTATTTGTATGTTGGTATGACTTTAGAACTAGTTGGATATTAATGCAGGTGATAGCATTGTTTCCTAGTACTATCATTATTTTCAATAATTATGATTTTTCCTTCGAGAAAATCGTGATTCATTTCACCGCTGGTCCTCGCCCCCTATTCCCCTTATCCTATGGTTTTTTTTACACTAGTATGGGTCTATGCGTTGCATGGGGTTCATGGATTGCCCATGCGTTGCACAGGGATGATGAATTTTTTCCACACCTATGGCTGCATATGCCTTGCGGCTTATATGAACATATTAAAAAAAATCTACAAATCTAACTCCATAGAAAATATAAAGCCTTCTATTTATAATTATGCATTTTATGGTTTGATCATTCTTAGTAAGTATTAAAAAGCTAATAAATGATTTTACATTGGAACCACTATTTCAAAATCCATTTAGTTCTCTTTGCTCCCCACATATCCTTCTCTTTTTCAGCTGAGAGCCCTTGTTCCCAGCATCATCTGTTTTGTTTTGTTTTGTTTTTATTTTCTTTTTTCCAATTTGTATTATTTTTGGTTGAGTCAAAGTGACGTTGAAATTCACGTTTTGCACAAAGTGTTTTTCTTCTCAGAAAGAAACTTACACATTTTAGTACGTATGCTTCTGTCGTCTTAATTTATTCTTGGTGGGATTCTAAAGTGTCAAATGAAACATTTCACAATCTAGGAATTAATTGCATGGGTACGTTAGCTTAGGGAGATTATATTTCATCGAACACCTTACCTACATGCATATGCCAGCAAGGTGGAAACCACGCCAGGTACAATTCACCACCGTCTGCACGAGAGGCGCCTTGCACATGTGACAGGTGGCCAGCGACGCCTGGGGGCGGTCTGTGAGGAGAGCGGCGTCGTTTTCTTTGCGACGATGGATGGCGCCGGCCAGCGATAGCAGGTGGCACTGCACGTGCTGGACCTCGAGAAGAAGGTGCAGGCGAGGCGACGCTGGTCCTCCATGCAGGCCGCTGCTGCTTTCGCAAGCCATATTGTAGGTTTGTGGCTTTCGTGGCTACGACACCGGTGGACAACCTGATCCCGCTCGGTGCGTGAGATGATCTCGTGTAAAGAAAACGTGTGCGTCGTCAACCTAACTTGCATGCAGAGTCGATCTCGTATGTGGTTTTTACTCTGTTTTTGGTTATGTCGCCGGGACCGAGCGGGCACGGGGTGGTACGAGGCGGATGCCGCCGGGTCGAAGGGCACGGACGAGGTGTGGCGGCCCGCGCAGCCGGCGCAGGGGATCCATACAGCGTTGTTGCTGATGTCGACGGCTAGGAGCAACTGCGGCGGCGTGCCGAGGCGGGCGCGCACCACGTACGTGGGCGTCTGCAGCAGCTGCCGCCCCGACGCAATGTGCGCATACGCGCGGGCGTGCGGCCACGAGCCGCTAGCAAGTCCTGGTACAGCAGCCGCGATGCGTCATGCGATGCCTGGTCCGCGAAGAACCCTGCCCACGATGGCGCCGCCTGGTCCGCCAGGAACCCCGCCCATGACGGCGCCGCCGTCCCGAGGCCCAACGGGGAGCATGGCCCGAACGCGTGTGGGAGCGAGGCGTTCCTTTGCTTCTGGCCCGACGCGAACTCTGCTTGTGTGGACTCCATGGGAGCGAAGCGACGGAGGCTGGAGGCGTGGCGCAGACTCTGCGGGAGCGAGGCGACGAGGCGCGCAGACGATTCCGTTTGCCGATAGGTGTAACAGATTGAACTCGACGTGACGTGGTTTGTGGGAGAGCCCACTTCGTGCGGGACGACAGCCGGGTCTCGGAGTCGGAGCTACTCGACGCGAGGGTAAATCATCGGTTGAACGAAAGCTCTTTGGAAATTGCAATGACTTTTTCATTTATTCTTTCTCTTTCTCGATGGGAACAAATAAAGGCTTTGTTTCCTCAAAAAAAATAGAGGCTTTGTAGGGCTGAGTTCTAGCTCGGCCTGTGAAGCAACGGCCGAACTACGCCGGGCCAGGCTCCCTGCCATCGAAATTACACCATTTACATTAGCCCAGGCCCAGCTCAAGGGCGAAAATATTTCAACCCGCGCGACTCGTGCCCTTCCACTGCACAGGCAGTCGCCCGCAATGCCCGCGCCGCTGCCGCTGCCGCTGCCTGCCGTCGCGCGCGAGCTGGCCGAGCTCCTCGTCGCCCTCTCCGCCGCCCGCACGCTCCCAAAAGGACAGCAGCTCCACGGCCACCTCCTCAAGGCTGGACACGTCCCCGCCACCGCCTCCTCCCACACGCTGCTCGGGCACCACCTCCTTACCTTCTACGCGCGCTGCGCGCTCCCGGACCTCTCCCTCCGCGCCTTCCTCGACCTCCCCGCGCCGCCCTCTCCTGCGGCATGGTCCTCCCTCATCTCCTCCTTCGCCCAGAACGGCCTCGCCGCCGCCGCCTTCGACACGTTCCGCCGCATGCTCGCGGCGGGCGTCCCCGCCACCGATCGCAACATCCCTTCAGCTGCGAAGGCCGTCGCCGCTGCCGAGACCTTGTCGCGCCCTCCGTTCGCCCCTCACGCGCTCCACGGCCTCGCCGCCAAGACTCCGTTCGCGTGCGACGTGTTTGTTGGGTCGGCGATTCTCGACATGTATGCCAAGTGCGGACACCTTGCAGACGCCCGCCGGTTATTCGATGAAATGCCGGAACGGAATGTTGTCTCCTGGTCCGCACTCATCTGTGGGTATGCTGACGCGGGGATGCATCCTGCAGCGATGGGAATCTTCCGCTTGGCACTTGAGGAGGCCGTGCCGGTGAATGACTACACAGTTTCTTGCATCATCCGAGTATGTGCTGAAGCGACACTCTTTGAGCTTGGAGCCCAGGTGCATGCCAGGGCTACAAAGACAGCGCTTGATGCATCACCTTTTGTGGGTAGCTCACTTGTTTCGGTTTACTCAAAGTGTGGGCTTGTAGACTGTGCTTACCGGGTGTTCAATGAAGCACCTGAGAAGAACCTTGGCATTTGGAATGCAGTGCTCATTGCATCTGCTCAGCATGGGCATACTGCTGCAGCATTTGAGCGCTTTATGGATATGCAGAATGCTGGATTCCGGCCCAATCACATAACCTTCCTGTGCTTGGTCACTGCTTGTAGCCATGCTGGCCTTGTTGATGAGGGGAAGCGATATTTTTCTCTCATGAAAGATTATGGTATTGAACCACAGGCTGAACATTATGCTTCAATGGTTGACCTACTTGGTCGTGTAGGACGTATAAAGGAAGCACTTGATCTTATTGAGTCCATGCCCATGGAACCACCAGAGTCTGTTTGGGGTGCACTACTCATGTCATGTCGTATATTTAAGGACGCTGACACTGCAGCAATTGCTGCAAAGAGGCTGTTTGAGACTGGGTCTCGCAGCTCTGGGGCACATATGCTTTTGTCAAGCACATATGCAGCTGCAGGAAGGCATATTGATGCAGCTCTTGCTAGGAAAGCAATGCGTGATGCAGGTGTACGGAAAGAAACAGGACTTAGCTGGTTGGAAGCTGCAGGGGAGGTGCATACCTTTGTATCGAACTGCAGGAGACACCAACGAAGCGAGGAAATTTACAAGGTGCTAGAGAAAGTTGGTGAGAAGATGGAGGCAGCTGGTTATGTGGCAGACACTAGTGCAGTGGTTAAGGATGTGGATGGGGATGAGAAGCGAGCAACAGTGAGGTATCACAGTGAAAGGCTAGCAATAGGGTTAGGTCTTTTGATCGTTCCACAAGGTGTGCCAATCCGAGTTATGAAGAATTTGCGCGTGTGTGATGATTGCCACAATGCAATTAAGTATCTAACTAAGTGCACAGGTAGAGTTGTGGTTCTTAGGGATAATCGTCGGTTCCACCGATTTGAAGATGGGGGGTGCTCTTGTGGGGATTTCTGGTAAGGGACCAATATGTTCTCTTTGAAGTGTTCTTGATTTTTTTTTCTCTATATGGATTCATCTAGAAGGGAAACTTATGTGTCCTCAGTAAATAAATCTGTTTCAGCTCAGTGGTGATATGATAATAAAGGAGTATTGATATATGAGTTTCACATAATTGAAAAAGACCAAATTTTTTATTTCTTTGGAAACTGCAACAGTTCAGAGTATTTTGGAAAAGTATGATCCTTGCACATAGGATGCAATCTTGTACCTGAGGGTCCACATGGCATTGAGGCTTCTGCTCAATGTCCTAGAACATGCATTTGGACAGTAACAGGCAGTATTGTCAAACAAGATTTCGAGTGTAGCTGCCTGAAAATCTGTAACTTATGGTATTATCTTATGGCTCCAATTAATGGTGCATGTTTTTCAATCATGCGCTCATCGCATTACATATCTCTCAGTTCACTTGTTAGTGTGTCATGATGATCCCATTCTGTTTAGCGGCAAGGTTAAAGCAGGTTAAGAAAAGCACTAAACTCAACTGAGAATAGAACTAACCGCTTACAGTTTAGGTAAAACTACAAAAATATTGTTTCCTTTGGATCGAAAGTCCTCACCTTTAATGCAGAATTGCAGGGATCATATGGTCATGTAATACTAGTGCTCAGGCAGGATATTATATGTTTATTATCAAGCTCAGTTTAATGAGCAAAGCATCGTGTAATACTTGAGACTGTTCTGTTACTTTCTTGTGCATGGAAGTTGGAAGGTTGAATTGTATTTCTTCAAATGTTTGATGTCTCAGGGAAGTACTTGCAAGTTTCTCTGCACAGATTTGAGAAGCACTGATGAAGTGACCTTTCAATTTATTTGTGTTGTTATCCTTAATTTATATCGCAATAGTTGCGACTTACATAAAAGTTAAAAGGGAAAACAGAGTTATTACTTTGAAATGCATGATGGTTCCTTTATTTTTTTAGGTGTATTGAATTGAATTAATTGATTTTGAGGTACTAAATTGTGTGCGTTTGGTCAAGGCTTGATATTTGATGCTGATATACCAACGAAACATACTCCCTCCGCCCCAAAAAAACTTAATGTTCTAGGATTGTCCTAAGTCAAATATCCAAAGTTTGACTAAATTTATACATAAAAGTATCGACACTTATGACACCAATTGGTAATGGTATTGCTACTTTTTAATATAAATTGGTCAAACTTACAATGGTTTGACTTAGGAGAATCCTAGAACATCAAGTTTGACGGAGGGAATACTTTGGAAGTGACAGGTAGATTAATGAGGTGTATCTATGTTATTATCAACCCCTGTTTCCAAATACTTCACATTTTTCACCACTTTATTTGCTTCTGAATACTTGGCACTTGCTCCTATAAAAGTACTATGTAAGTATTCTAGATAACTTTATGAGGGCATTTTGGTCATTGGTCAAAGTATCCAAAGTATTTGGAAACTGATGTTTTTTTTATAACAATTGTACAGTAAGGCTCTCTGGAAAGGAAACTGCTGAAACCAAAAACCTTCAAACCAAATAGACCTGTCTTAACATGAAAAGGACAAAATCTTTGTTGGGATGGAGTGAAACCTAAGCTATCGCGAGGAGAGGAGGAGCCCCACCGCCATCCCGGCGAGCAGCGTGGCCATGCCAAGGCGCGCTAGGGTTTGGGAGGGCGGCCACCATGTCGCCTCGCAGGGGGCGGCGCTGCTGGAAGTGAACTTATTACTACAAAGATTTTCCTTACCAATTATCGCGATTAGTGCTTTAGGGACTCCTGAGTTGGTTGCATCCATCTTTGGAAGTGACAGGTAGATTAATCGCATCAACCCCTGTTTCCAAAATTGTTGACTTTATTTTTTTATATGTTTGTTGTTTGCAATTTTCTTTTGGTGATGATAAACGTATAATTGTACATATATACTTAGAAAACACGATTAGTAAAGATTTTCACTGTTAAATGCTTTAGCTTTCTGCATGATTTGATGGATGCATCTAGTTTGGATGCTGGTCCGGAGGCTGCAAACTGTAACCTTTACACTAGGCCTGTTGGCTGGAGAGCACCAGAAGGTTCAAGTTGGTCCACTGTTGCCTACTGGTCCTGGAAGGTATTTGCCTATCTTGAGAGCGACGCAAAGATATGGAAGGCTGCACATTATTTGCCTTCCCTACTTTGTCTGGTTAGTACAGTTGGCATAAAGATAAATGGTGTATTTCTCTTTAGGTCCTTATTTGATCCGTGCAAGCTTCTTTATGCTTTGAAATCCAGGATGCATGTTGCCCAAGTTGGCCGGCAGATTGATAAGCTGAAAGAATGACAGGGGAGCTTCTACTCTTCATGCATACTGATCTGCAAATCTGATGGACAAGCTACCACCTATCATACCTATATATGTGCAGGTGGAACTTGCTGGTTTCTTGTAGCATGTAGAAAACCAAGCAAGAGAAAGAGAGGCACATACACGGCAAAGATGAGTCTTATAAGAGGTATGGGGAACGTTGCCAAACGATGGAAAGAACTCAATGGCTTGAATTATTGGAAGGGCCTAGTTGATCCTCTCGACCTCGACCTTCGTAGGAATATCATCAACTATGGTGAGCTTTCCCAGGCATCCTATACCGGTCTAAACAGAGAGAGAAGATCAAGGTATGCTGGGTCTTGCCTCTTCAACCGCAGAGACTTCCTCAGCAGGGTGGATGTATCAAACCCAAATTTGTATGAGATTACAAAGTTCATATATGCATTGTGTACTGTCAGCTTACCTGATGGATTCATGGTTAAGTCTCTTTCAAAGGCTGCATGGAGCAGGCAGTCAAATTGGATGGGGTTTGTTGCAGTAGCTACAGATGAGGGTAAGGAAGTGCTTGGGAGGCAGGATGTGGTGGTGGCATGGCGTGGCACAATACGGATGGTAGAGTGGATGGATGATCTTGATATTTCCTTGGTACCTGCTTCAGAAATAGTTCTTCCAGGCAGCGCAACTAACCCCTGTGTGCATGGAGGGTGGCTTCCAGTCTACACAAGTGCTGATCCAGGGTCACAATACAACAAAGAGAGTGCAAGACATCAGGTAACTCATTCAAATTCTAGAATATTCATTAAACAATACAAAATTTTCCGATCTTCTGACTTGTGAGGAAAATAATACCAATCTGTGAACAAGTTAAACAGCAAGGTCTAGACTCTAGAGTGTATTGTATGCTTTCTAATCATGTATATGCTTGAAGTGAAAGTGTTGCTTCATTAGAGTTCAAGCAAAGGAAAGAACAACATGGTATCTGTAAAGAGCGTTGCTTAATTAAAACAGCATGATTTGTGGGCACTATATCTAAGTGTCAACTGTCAAGCACTGCTTTGCCTGTTGAACTAGTGGGCACTAGTTGAGTAGTGGTGCCTGAGAAGTGCCGTTCAGGTCACTCAGAAATGAGCACGAGGACTATTTTACTTTTTGAAATAGATGACCCACCCAGGCTGCACCTTTGGGATTGAACCAGGGTGGTGTAGAGCCCTTCACTATTGGGAACTCATCAAGGTGTCAATGAATAAACCCCCTGCAACAATGCACAGTTTTTAGGTGGTTTGATTCAATATGTAACTATAGAAATTAGTTAAAGTGCCTTGACAGGTAATGTTAAAGGTTAGTCTGCCATCTAAGAAAAACAAATTTCTGATTCCCACCGGTGGGAACATTGGCCAGGTCGTGGGGAGGCTATTTAACCTCCCACCGGCCTACGTCGAAAACCTGAAGCCGATTTAGGTGCCTTTTCCTTTAGTGAATACCAAAACTTGTAGCTAGTTTCAAAAAGGAATGAAGAAAAGATCCCACCATTGGGTATTTTTCTTCTGATCCATCTCAGCAGTAGGGAAACATCATGATGATTTCAGGTGGGAGATAATTCCACTTGTTGAGCCAACCAAAGCTTACTCTGCAAAAACACAAATATGGTACAAGCCACACAACTAGTGTACTGTATGTCTGTATTCTAAGATAAAATGTTCAATTCTTTTTTGTTGAGAAGTCAACCGGAGTCCCCCTGAATAATTTTGCACTGATACCAATGAGGAGGAATGGAGGGCGCTAGGCGCGAGCGAGAAAAGAACATGAACACAAAAAATTCGTGGTTGTTTCTTCAAAAAGTTTGAATTCATTTTTAACAAACAGGACCTTGAATAATGCTATCCCAGCATGCATCATTGTCTCCTTGATTGTGCATATTTGATGTAACTTCTTCGTTTTGCTTATCATTTGTTAAAAATATAATAAACATGTATCGATCAAACTAACAAAATTAGCAGGTTTTAAACGAGGTCAAAAGGATACAGGATTTGTACAAAACAGAGGAGACGAGCATCTCCATAACAGGTCACAGCCTAGGAGCAGCACTTGCCACCATCAACGCAATTGACATTGTTTCCAATGGCTACAACAGGAGCTGCCCTGTGTCCGTGTTTGTATTTGGAAGCCCCAGAGTCGGTAACCCTGATTTTCAGAAAGCATTTGACAGTGCAGCAGATCTGAGATTGCTCCGAGTCCACAACTCTCCTGATGTGGTCCCAAAATGGCCAAAGCTCGGATACAGTGATGTCGGTACAGAGCTAATGATCGACACAGGGGAATCACCCTACCTGAAGGCCCCTGGAAACCCCTTAACATGGCATGACATGGAGTCTACATGCACGGGGTTGCAGGGGCTCAGGGGAGCAGTGGAGGGTTCGAGTTATTGGTTGATCGAGACATTGCTTTGGTGAACAAACATGAAGATGCACTGAAAAATGAGTTTGCTGTTCCATCATCATGGTGGGTGGTACAGAACAAAGGTATGGTGAAAGGCAAGGATGGCCGGTGGCATCTGGCCGACCATGAGGATGATGACTAATGTAGCCTGGCAACTCATCTTCTACCAGTTTCATCAGAACACACGTGTCGTTGTGTTTAAAATTGTACTCAAATTTTCTGTATTCAAATCATGAGTTTCATTGACTTTTATCCATTGTAATAAAGTCTAAATTTGTTGAGCAGTGGATCGTTGAGAAAAAAATACAGCGTTGGATGTTTTTCACCATCTTTGTTCTTTTTATTTTTGATTGAAAAGTACACATGCTTGGATAGTTGGATTTACTTATTACAAAACAGCTTTTTCATTTATATAGTGCGGCAAAAGTATGGCTTACTAAATTTTGGTGAAGACAACTCATTATGTCTTTAATGATACAGTTATGGTTATGCATTTCTATATCGATTACAAAGTTACTGAATTTGTGGAACACATAAAAACTCCATAAGAGGAAAACTTCGGACCTAAGTGAGATATTTTAAGGGGGCGGGGGGAGAGACTTAACATTCTCGTTGTTCCGGTTGGCCGAATCCTCTGTCCTACCTAGCACATCTTTCTCCCTTTCTTGGATCTCATCTTGGCATCCGCCATGGACTACATACAGATGGACCACGGGCAACCAACACCTTCCCTTGTCAAGATGCTCGATCCGGAGAGGTGGTGGTTTTGACATGCCGCCATTTCTCACCCCCACCAAATTGCCCAGTTTCTTCCAAAGCAGAGGTGATCATCTTCTTCCCAGTGCTGGATAGTTAGTTTTTTTCCTCAACACAGTGGATCGGATTAGGCATAATGCGGTGTTGTGCTGTGCGATTATTTTGCTTATATTATTTCAACATCCATCTTTTTGCGATAAAAAAAGGGTGCCCAACAGCCCATGGATCTCATTTGCTCTCTACTCGTCTTTCCGTAGTTGCAGTTGTTGGTCTGATAGATCCAGAACTACTTTTTAATCCTCTCTTTTTGAAAAGCAAAAGCTGTTAATCTAATATGCCGCGTCATTGTGGCCGTAGACTGTAACTTAGTCCAGAAATGGGATCTAAAGGCTATGCGAATGTCAAATTATCAATGCAAGCATTCCACTGAAGACCAATGCATAGAGCATAATAATGTCAGATAATCAGTTCTAGTAGCTGGCGACATATTCAAAGCAATTTATATATCGACAGATTCAGACGGCCCCTGTTCCCTCTGGATCCTTGAATTCTTTCCATGCCCTCTGCCATGTGCCATGTGAGCAAAAGAATGCTCCACTTGTACACCTAGCTAGCTCCGACGTCAACTTATAACCTTGCAGTTGCAGTACCAAACAGATTGGAAAAGGGGAGGCAGAGGACCACAACCTCCAGAATTCAGATCGGTAACAGTTGTTCTCCGGCGACATGGCCGGGCGGTGGAGGGAGCTGCACGGCAGCAACCACTGGGAGGGCCTGCTGGACCCGCTCGACTTGGACCTCCGGCGTTGCCTCATCACCTACGGCGAGATGATCATGGCCACGTACGAGGCGTTCATCGGCGAGAGCCGGTCCCCGAACGCCGGGATGTGCCGGTACCGCCGCGCCGACCTGTTCCGGCGCGTGGACGTGTCCCGCCCCAGGTGGTACGAGGCCACGCGGTACCTCTACGCCACGGCCAGCGCCGAGGTGCGCGGGAAGGTGCTCCTCCGGCCGCTCTGCCGGCAGCACCGAGCCAGGGAGTGCAACTGGATGGGGTACGTCGCCGTGGCCACGGACGAGGGCGCCGCCGCGCTCGGGCGCAGGGACATCGTCGTGGCGTGGCGCGGCACGCAGCGCGCGCTCGAGTGGCTGGCCGACCTCAAGCTCGCGCTCGCCTCGGCGGCGGGTATCCTGGGTCCAGAGGGCGCCGGCGGCTCTGATCCGTCGGTGCACCGCGGGTACCTGTCGCTTTACACGTCGGCCGACGAAGGTTCCAACCTGAGCAAGCAGAGCGCCAGAATGCAGGTGTGTGCTCTGCCGCTTCTTTTCGAAGTTTGAATTCTTGCAGTCCAGTTCATGTGTTGTAGTACTATTATATTACTATCTTGTTTTTGTTGCAGTTCATATCATTTTAACCCTAACAAACCCTTAGGAGGGTTATAGTTTTCTAAACTTATCCTTTTATTGGGGGGGGGGGATCCAAATTACTCCTCACAAGTTTGACCAATGTCCACATAACCAAATAAACTAATGTTTGGTTTGATTTACTTCCTGATTATTTCATTTGGTCCATTTTAGCCCTAATAACAAGATTTGCCTTTTTTTATTCTCCTGTACGAGTTTAGTTTTAATTTTAAATTGTGGGGGTGACAGTGGGCATCATAATTTATGTTAAACCATAGATTATGAATTTTCATAGTTATGTTTCATATATTTTTATATTTCTAGTGCTAATTTTTTTATTAAATTTCATGATCTTTCGAAGTAATGATGAAAATGTATAATATTATTTGAACATAACTTATGATGTCAGCTACACCTCACAAAATTCTAAACAAAAATTCAACTTGTATGCGGAGAACTAAAAAGACAAATTTTGTTAAGGGTAAAGTGGACCAATTCAAATAGTTAGGAAGTAAATCAAACTAAACATCAGTTTAAGGATTATTTGGACCTTGGAAACTTGAGGCGAGTAGTTTTGGTTTTTCCTTTTTTATTGTATTTCCAGTTGGCTCTATTTGAATGTTGTAGTATTAAGAAATCATGATATTAATTAAGAAACTTCAGTTTTAGAACATGTAGACATGCAGAACCATGGTTTAGAAAAGAAATTTAGAGTGGAGTTTTCAAAGTTCTAAAAAGACTACATTTGTAATATTATGGTTTTCAATACTATAAAGTTTATTGCATCCAAGAACATCATGGTTTTTCAAAACCAAAGTATTTTACAAAATTATAATATTTTTCTAAAACTCCAAAAGTTCTTTGCATAAAAACAGGGCCTAAAATGCTTTCTTTCCTCAAAGACAATAACTATCTTCTTTTACAATCATCAAATTGGAGACTCCTTTTGAGTCTCCACTTTAATTCTTACTAGACACACTTGGAAAAAATACAAATGAGAGAATTTGAACTATTGACATATCAAACACAACGGAAGAGCGATGCTAAGGTGAGGAAAAAAATATGAATAGAGGTGGAAAATATACAATAGTTTGTAACTAAAATCTATCACGATTGGATAAAAATTAAGTATGTACATGAGTACTACCTTAGAATATATATGGACAAATAACAGAGAGCAAATGTAAGCAATTTGATTAGCTGTGACACCAAATTTATCCATGGATCTCTAACCTTTATGTCTCTTAGAACTAATAATCCGTGCAACATCACTGATTGATGGGCTAGTTTGTAAGAAAAGTAAAACAAGTAGTGTTGTCCTTATGCTTGTTGAGTTCATTACAACAAAATGTATTGCCGTTTCAATTTAAGAGGAGAGGAGAAAATTGCGACATACATATCGCTATTGTCTTAACCCAGTGACAATTTACAATTCACCAAGCTGGGTCGCAAAACATCTCCAGGTGATGAAGTTGGTCATATATACTACCTGACCTTAAAAACATTGTGCCCTATATATGTTCTTATCACTTATGGCACTTCTACACCTCGGAAGCTATCCTCATTAGGACGCATGACATGGATTTTGCTTGCCTCATGAAGGTTGCGTGAAGATAAGGTGTTGTCTAGTTTTCTCCTGAAGATGTGACTGTCGAGTGGATTGTTGTTGGTATGGTTGCATCAGGTCCTAGTTGAGTAGTAAATGTGATTCATGCTTTGTCTTTAAGTACAAGTTCAGCAATAAATATAACTGATGAAAACATCAATCAACAGGCTTAAAATATAGCCAATAGCACTGCAAATCAGCAACTTTGGATCAATATTTGCTTTCTAGAATCTAGACTTCTAATTGAAAGGCCAGTTTTTACCTGTTTTGAGCTGAAATGTGCGAAAATACTATAGATTATAGCATTATACATTTATATATATAATAAGTATATACACATATCTACATAAAAGTGTACCAAAATAGTTGGGTATTCCCAGGAATACTGGGGAATACCCCTAAATCCGCCCATGTCAATCAAATACTACCTGAGAAGTTAATTAGCGCATCAGGTGTCTAGGCAAAGCAATCTGATGACTGCAAACAATTGAATAGATTATTAGAAGTATTTGAGGAATTCTTGGCAAATTCTCGTTTCTTATATATTGCAACTTGCTTTCTTCCACAAAATCAACATCAATCATTATTCTAAGAAATATATAGTGTTCATCCAAGTCCCTAGATCACAGATCACTCAATGCAGAAATCAGAATACATGAACATTGATGATTATAAGAATTGCATGCTATGTATACAAGGAGCCAGGTATTGGAGCGGTATTGCTGCCAGGATATGGGCCTCATACAAGCCCTTAAAATTCAGGCAATGCAATTGCAGCTCCGGAAGATTCATATTTCACAACGCTACAATGACATACAATCTGCAAGTGGAACTGAACACTGTTTGCTGTTCTTTTAACCCTTTTCTTACGAAGTGCATTGCCTGGAACTAAAAACGAAAATAACAGATAGTTTTGGTATAAAGATAATTGGGAAATATGTGCTGATACTACTTACTTGGGAGCTTAGATGAAATGCTACAGTACACTGCCAAAGTAGTCGAGAGTACATACAGATAATGCCATGTTTGGTAGTGCCAGGCTGCCAGCAGTGAGTATTTGCCGTCCAATAATGGTCCTTCTCCAGATGTATTGTTGCTGTAGCAAAACTCTACTAGTTCTACAATGGCAACCCCAGGGGATCTCCATTCTGTATGGACACTACAGGATCTGAAAATTTTCAGACCGGCAATAGTCCCTCGATTAGTAGTACTCTGAGGTAAGTGTCACTGTGTCAGGCTGGCGTGGCGAGTTAAGGCTGCTAATGCAAGTTGATAACAGAGTGCCCAGAGAAGGAGGAGGGCATTGTGTGATATGGAGATATGATGACAGCTGTGCTGAAGGATGGAAAACAAAAATGAGATGCTATTCACTGTTTTTTTTAGTGAACGATGCTATTCACTGTTGACGAAGGGACAATGATTGTCAATCTTACAGTTTCAGTGCCCACAGAAAAAGGCAAGATCGATCAGCAATGCTAACAGCAGTACTATGATTAACGATGTTTAAAGCGATGGATGATTGAGAAAGGTGGCAGCGGAGTCAGGTAAAAGGAGATTGAAGAAGCTGGAATGTGTGTGCATTTATAGGTTACTCCCTCCGTCCTAAAAAGAGTGTCGTTTTTTACTTTCAGACATCTTATTTGAGCATCCGTCTTATTCAAATTTTTTATATAAATATTATATATTTTGTTATGACTTATTTTATCATTAGAGATACTTTAATAATGATTTGTTTATTTTATAATTTACATAAATTTTTTAAATAAGACGAACAGTCAAACACGATGTCTGAAAGTAAAAAACGTCACTCTTTTTGGGATGGAGGGAGTATACTATTTTTTTTTGAATAATTGTGTGTTTTAATACTCAGTGAACATCGATTTAGATATACTCTATAAGTAAGTATAGAGATTATTAGATTATCTCCTAGCATTTTTACAAATAAGGTTATCTCCTAGCTTCCATTTTTTTTGTGCATACACTTAGCAAGCTATTAATTGTGCGAGCATGCAGGTGTTGACAGAGATCGCAAGGCTAATGGACAAATACAAGGACGAGGAAACGAGCATCACCATTGTCGGCCACAGCCTCGGCGCGACCATGGCCACCCTGAACGCCGTCGACATCGTCGCCAATGCCTACAACAAGACCCCGGGCTACAACAGCCGCCGTGCTCCGGTCACAGCCATCGTGTTCGGCAGCCCACGCACGGGGGACCGCGACTTCCGGGACGTCTTCCACCGCCTCCCGGACCTCCGGATGCTCCGCGTCCGGAACAGGCCGGACCGCATCCCGCACTACCCGCCCGTGGGCTACGCCGACGTGGGCGTCGAGCTGCTCATCGACACGCGCCGGTCGCCGTTCCTCAAGCCCCACGGCAATGAGTCGCAGTCGCACGACCTCGAGGTCCACCTGCACGGCGTCGCCGGTTGGCAGGGCGACCACGGCGGGTTCGAGCTGGTGGTGGACCGGGACGTTGCGCTGGTGAACAAGTTCGACGACTGCCTCGCCGATGAGTACCCCGTGCCCGTGGGCTGGAAGGTGCACCACAACAAGAGCATGGTGAAGGGGCCCGACGGGAGGTGGGTCTTGGAGGACCATGAGCCAGACTACGAAGACGGGGATGACAACGTCGACTTGTAGTATGTACAACAGAAACATCATGATGTCAAGTCCCGCCAGGCGAAGCCAGCCAATTGTGTTTTGTGTTGCTACTATTGATCTTATTCCCCATGTTTTGAAAGGTCTTGGAGGAGCATTGAATACTGAGGTGAATTATATGCCTAATGAAAATTAAAGAGTTAAATGCACCAGCGGTCCTCGACTCGTACGCGTGTGTCGTATAAGTCCGTAAACTTGGAAAATGCATTTATAGACCCTCTAAACTTATTAAGTGGTGCACCGCAGACCCATACTAGCCATGTGGCATTTGTCTCCTGACGTGGCATGCTAACATGACATGTATTTTTCATTTAACCCCTCCAATTTATTTTTCTCTAAAAAAAATAGACCTTTCCTTCTGTCTCATCCGGGTCGCGTAGCATTGCCGGGCGCGACTAACGCGGGACCCTGGCCCCGTCGTCGTCCTGGTCGGGGAGGCTGGCGCCGGAGCACGAGTGGTGGCTGCGGAGCCCGGCGTGGTCGCGCCCGCTGTCGGACAGTGGCGGACGCCGCGGATGCAGTAGTGGCTCCTCCTCCTCGTCGTCTCCGTCCGCGTCCATGAAGCGGAACAGCGACGCCGTGCCGGTGGGTGACGTCGGGGCCAAGAAGTCGCCTTTTAAGTCAACTCGTGCCCCCTCCGTGCCCTCGCTCTTCGATTACGTGATGAACTGATGATGATGAACTGACCGCGATCCACCGCGGCAGTGCCGGGGTACGCCGGGACGAAGTCGTCCGCCTGCGGGTTGTACGTACAGCAGCGGCGGCCACGGCAGCACCGGCCGTAGTTGCAGAGCTCCGTCTTATCCATTGAGGAGATCCTCCGTGCTGAAGATCCTTCGCATCGGCTGATCGGCGCCACCGCAGCCGCCCTGCCGGAGAGCCCGGACGTCCAGACAGGAGGTCAGCCTCGGCGTCACCGCAGCCGCCGGGAGCGGGCGGCAGGCCGATGCGCAGAGCGACAGCGGCGGCGGCGGCGTCCGTGGGCGCCGCGGTCTCCAGGTCCATCGGGTCGTCGTCGTCCTCGCAGCAGGAGGGCATTCAGTTGAGGTCGGCGAAGAGCGACGCGCGCGTGGATGGGGTCACGGAGCTGCCGACGACCTTGTTGAAACCGGGCGCTGCCCCGACTTGATCTCGGTGAACGCCGCCGGCGGGACGACGAGCACAGAACGCACGCACGCGAGAGTGGAAACACACGACAGAAAGATTTTGCGCTGCTCAATAACCGCAGCCTTTTCAGTTTCATTGATGCACATATTTACAGAGCAAATGTGAAACAAAGATGCATGTGCAACAGTTTGAACAACAGACCGCGACGTGCGGGTGCGGCCGGGCCCGGGAGGTGGTGCGCGTAGGTGACTGCGAGAGGAAGAGGAGGGGCAGCGCCTCCCGTAGCGGCGGTGAGGGCGGGCTGTCATGGGGAGGCGGAAGCGTCGTCGGTGGCGGCTGCAAGAAGCAGGCAAGGTGGTACTGTGGCGCGGCCGCGCGGCGTAGAGGGCGGTGTACGGTGGGAGAGAGGACGAGTTTATTTTTTAATGAAAAATAAATGTGAGAGGTTAAATAAAAATACATGTCATCCTAGCAAGCCACATCAGCAAAAAGATGCCACATGGCTGGCATGGGCCTGTGGTGCACCACTTAACAAGTTTAGGAGATCAGAAATGTATTTTTCAAGTTCATGGACCCATGTGATATACACTTACAAGTTCAAGGGCCACTGGTGCATTTAACTCAAAATTAAAAATATAAACTTAGAGCTCAAATAAAACTATCACTGAAAAAAACTAATAAACTAGTTCTACCATGACGTGCACCTAAGATTTTTCTAGTGTGCTCTAACTTATTATTTAACCAAAAAAGAGTTTAGCAACTCAGATTTAAACATACCTCATTCGTCCTAAATTACAAGATATCCAAATAATTTTAGGACTAAATAAAGTGTTTGGCAAAAAAAAACTAACTTGCCATCACTAATTAATTAGTTCGGTTGCCAACTTACTTAATTTTCTAGTAATGTCTAGTTTGAAAGCACACATACATATTATTGATTTCGACTACCAATTATAAGATTCATTTTGCATAAAATGGTGTCTAAAGTCTTGAGTCTTCGATACATTGTGTTTTTGTATCTAGGACAGAGGGAGTATCAAATAGCCAAAACTAATATAGAAATATATCAGATAAAACATGCACAAATGGAAGTAACAAATGTGATAAGTAAAGAGCAACAGTTAAAGAGACAATTTATCCTGTGGTATTGGTTGCCAAAAACACAACCCATAACCTATGTTGGAGCTCTACCAGTGCATGCTCCTGCTCGCCCAACCTTCCTCTCGGTCATGGTGTTGGGCTCCAACCAAGATGAGCCTCACAATGAAAATATTTTGTAATCTATCTTATCTCATTTTTTATTTCATCTTGTGTTTCTTGTTTATAGTTTTGTCATTATAACTCGTATCACTAATACACATGTATTAACGTATAGGGCAACCCTTCCTGTTTCCTTTACTAGAATCGCATAATCCACTGCACAACATAGTTCAAATATGTTTTTTATCCACTAGCAGCTTGCAAATCCACTTGTCATCCTGGGAACTTCCAGATCTTGAAAATTTTTAATACAAATTTAATCATGTAAATAGAAATGAGCTAGTTCCTACCTAGATCTCCGTGAGAGGAAATGCAGGGCCGTCTCAACAATTTCAAGGGTCCTTGCACAAGCAAGCGGCAAGGACCTAGCAATTTAATCTTTTAGTGCCTATTTGGCATGGCTCTAGCTTCAGCTCCGGCATCAGTTTCTGCAGAGGAGCCAAAGACGTTGTACCAAACACTTTAGGAGAAGGATCCGTTTTGTGGTGATAGTAGAGGAGTTTGAGTTGTTTTGGGGGTTAGAGGAGCCGCTGCAATTTATAGCTCATCCTCAAGTACCCCGACTCCTCTGGGGGAGCACTAAAGAGAAGTAATGCCAAACAAGTCTTTAATATGATAATTAAAGTGTACATTACTACTAACAAAAGTTAACTTGCAACATATGTTGCAAGTGCTCGGAAATAGCTGAATAGTGAAATAGGAAGCGATCACAAACTAATTTCTGATTGCTTGTACTAAGTATATTGGCCTTTAAATTTTCATTTTAATGGTCAAATATATATACCAAATACTAGATACATGCATATAGTGGTGGGCCCTCTCATGGCGCTGCTGCCTACCCTAAGACAATCATGAGGAAATGGGAGAGATAGGGAGAGAGGAAAGGGGTCTGATCACCGCCACTGCACCTCCAACCGTCCAGCAAACAAGCAGAGGCGGATGGCCGGACTCGGTATGAGTTATGCACGTATTTTAGACTTTAGTACCAGTTTAGTTGTGTTATTATGCATTTTTATATACATGTGCTACTCAACGCCTAACTTTAATCTCATTTTTGCTAAAGTATGTCTCAGTTTTTGTGCATGTTAAATTTTAGAAGAAATACAATGAATACGCTATTCTTGACAAGAAGAAATACACAAAGGGACTGAGAACCCAAGGCGAGCAACTCAACTAAATGAAAATGCATGCTAAGAGCATCTTCAGCAATGCTACCCAAATCTGACTACCTACTTCTCTGCTTGGGTATCCACCCATTTTATACTACCTATATTTTACTCTCGTCTTCAGCAATACTACCTAAAATAAGCTACCCAAATGCATCGTGATAGAAAATGTCATGTGGGTCCTATGTGCCATCCTCTCATCTAGTTCTTTCCTGTGCCATATAGGAACTCAGCCAAGCACCATTGCGCTGGGGAGGGGAGCTACGTTGGCCGGCTGTGCTGCGGCCGTCGGGGGACGGAGGGAAGCTGTGCCGGCCAAGCAGAGGAGGGCCGCGCCGGGAAAATCCGGTCGGGACAGCACCGGCATCGTGGATGGCCGCGTCGGAGGCAGCACCGCCGCACGGAACCGTCGGGGCAGGCCCGCCCAGCCGCACCGAGGGCAGGCGCTAGGGACCGCCGCCCACGGGAGCCGCTGGGGCAGCACCGCCGCGCCGGGGAGGGCCGGGGCAGCACCGCCGGTGTCGGGGGTGGCAATGCTCAGCGGCGACCTTGCTCGATGGTGACAGGGAAGATCCGTGTGTGCGGGCGAGCACGGAGGGGGAAACGACCGAATCGATTTTTGGGTAGCCATCTGTTGGCCCAACAAGAATTGGTAGAGGAAGGGAGAATTTGGATAGCCAACAAATCTGTTGGAATTGGTTTTTTGCCCTCACTATCCAAATTGGAGATAGCTAGTATGTTTAGGTAGTCTGCTATAGTTGTTTTAACGAGTTGGACCGAGTCCAAAGAGAAGCCCGTATAGAAATAATACAAGGATAAGCTAGAAATAATACAAGGATAAGGAAACCAGGCATCTTTAAATAGTTCTGACTAAAATGCAACATCTAAACTTACCTTAGAATTACTCTTTCTGTGAGTGACCCTCGAGTATAAAACTGCGGCAAAACCAATTGTTTCCTAGGATTCGAGGGGTCCTGAGATGTAACCATTTCATGTCATGAGTCATGACCTTGTTCTGATTGTTCCATTCATGACCTGCATCATCTGCCATGCGCTTAATCCCACATGTGTACTAGTTTAAGATAGTTGCATGTGTTCTATTAGATTGATGGTAATTGTGACTAAGCCATGCACCTCATTATTTGCGGCAGGGCCATGCCCCATGCATGTGCAAGACGTGTGACCGTACAGGGGCTCCCATTCGTGGGTGGGCTCAAAAATTACGGTTCCGACTCTATAGGATTGGTTGCCAAAGTTGCGTCTCTTCTCAATGGCGTTACAAAAGCCATCTAGCATGTATCGGCCCGTCCCCATCTAAGCGTCTCCATCTTGCCAATCAAGCAAGCCGATGCCGAGTGACTGGTTCTCCATCTACACAGTGGAGGCTACCAAGGGTTGAATATGTACCATTCTTGATTTATCGCAATGCTATGTATATGCTATTATCGT